TTTCTTGGGGGCCAGAACTGAGCCACAGCTGGAGAGTTGAAGGGATCTGACTGTAAATAAATACTCATTGTTCTCTGTAGGGTTTAGATAAGAATTTGGGGCTTGTGGTTAGGATTTTGATTGTTGTGGGGCAGATAACTTACCAGTTAAGGCACCTCGTGACCAGCATTCAGTGGTTTGTGTTAGGAGTGAGCATTGCTAGCCTTTGGGTCTGTACTGGTTAGTTTTTACTGTCAAGTTGATGCAATCCATAGTTACCCTGAAGAAGGAATTTATGTTGAGGAATTGCCCAGATCAGATTGGCCTGGGCCATGTTCTGTGAGAATATGACTGTTTAATCGTGACTGTTGGTTAAAGTGGGAAGGTCCAGCCAACTGTGGAAGAAACTATTTCTCAAACAGGTGGTCCTGGGCCATATAAGCAAAGCTGAATAAGATAAAACCCAGAGAGCAAGGCAAAAGCAGCATTTCTCTGTGGTTTCTGCTCCAGCTTCCACCTGAGCTCTTGCCTTGACTTCCCTCCATGATGGATTGGCATCTGGAAGCATACACCAAATAATCTCTTTCTTCCCACAAGGTATTTTTGGATATGGTGTTTATCATGGCAAACTATAATAGGTCCTAATGGAAAATGTGATGTGGACAGTTTTGCTTTTATCTTCTGTGCCTAATCACTTGCTCAAAAATTTGGTGGGTGGGTAGGATCTGACAATATTTTAATTTCCAGTCTCCAACAAGAGTTAAAGTACAGCATTTTCTTGCCAATTCATCTCTGTTGTGCTGCGATGCTGTACAACTGTCCACTGTTCTCTAATTGTAGAGCAAGAGTTTATAGACAATAAAGAGACTCAAGTGTGTGTGCATGTGTATTATACTCTCAAGGATAACCTCATGTGGGTCATACTCCATCTGAAAGCATTTCTATCCTTAGATTTTGTTTCTCTCTGTCTCTGTGTCTCTCTGCCTCTCTCTCTGTCTCATCTCTGTCTCTGTCCCCATGTCCCTGTATCTCTCTCGTGCGCACAGGTAGTTCTGTGTGTGTGTTTCATGTGTGAATATGAGCATGGATGCTGAGATCAAAAGACTTCTTTGATTGTCGATCCTTAAGTACTCCTATCTTTTGTTTGCGACAGCAAGTTTCATTGGCTTGCAACTTTTCCATGTCACCAAGATAGCTGGCATATGGCTTTTCTGGTGTCTACCTGTCAGATATGTGGGTTTCCAGGGATCCACCTGTCTAGAATGCAGGTTTCCAGGGATCCAGCTATTTCCTTTAGCCATCTTGCCATAGCTGGAATTTCTGCCATTACTCACTACACCTAGCTTTTGTTGGTGGGTTGTGGACTGAATTCAGGTACTCATGCTTGGGAAGCAAGCACTTTTCTGACCAAGCTATTTCCCCAGCCCACTGATTACTCTTTTGAAAACATCTATCTCAGAACTCTTAATATATCAAGCTCTTCCTTCTCTGTAAAGTGACCATCTTTGGCATAATCGAGTCATTTCTTTAAGTCATGTATTTATATAGCTCAATGGACAAGCTTCATTAAAGGACATGGGGACATTTGGTGCAGGCAATATCCATAGTACGAAGTATAGATGCATGCAGATCATCATTTCATAGCCCCAGAGATTTGATGTCAAGGCAAGATAGCCTAGGGTTTAATTTAGAGAGGCTAATGAGAGTGTTGGATGACTAGAACTCTGGCCGTCATTGTCACCCTTTGCTCTCTGCAAGGTCCTGTGGCCGTATTAATAATGTCAGTAGTTAGGTATTGATTTGACTTTTCTCTCCAGATAAAGTTGTAGAAATTACTGAACTCTTTTGATCTCCAGTCCCCTCATTTAAAACAAAAGCAATAATTTCTAGTTCTAGTTATTGGTCATATTCAATGAAGTAATGAGTATATTAGGCATTGTGTCTGGCACATGGTAAGAATTCAACAAACACTATTGTTACTATTAATTTTCCTTCTCTATAATGTCAACAGTATGGGAAGAACACAGTATGTTCCTCTAATCAACAAACCAAACAAGGCATAAGCTCAAAGAGGAGTGAAGCACTTACAGTGGAGTTGTAATTAAAAAATAATAATAATAAGATGAGAGGTATGAGAAGTGGTTTGTCCTTGAGGATGTCATGAGACAAACCATCAGTTATGTAGATTTGTCACTCATCTATGTCATTGAAGAATCCTTGTTAAGAGAAGAATGGGGCAAAGATGTCTGAATGTCTGACTGGGCCTAGTCTCAACAGACCTCAGAGTATCCATGATGATCAAGTTGTACCTTACATTTGTGTGATGAATATGTCCAAGGTCATACTTTATCTTCAAGGCCATCTACCTACACCTTGTCTGGCCTCTCTGAGAAGCACGGTTTTGAAGGATCTATCTGATTTTTCATCTTGGAACAAAACAGATCTTTGATGTTATAACTGGTTTCTACTATGACACTAAGGATTATGGACCAAATTCAGGGGAAGAGTAAGTTCTAGTCTTAGCTCATGAAGTCACAGTCACAGGCTGTTTTTATCTGAAGTCACTGAGATGTCCAGGCATGCTTTGCATATGGTCTGCCGGAGTGACTGGGTTTTAAAGTAACTGGTTATTTTTTTCTCAGTTCCAGCTGTTAACCACAGAGCCATCACCTCTCCAGGACTTTTCCCTCTCCCCTTGGACTGGGATGCCTCATTTTTGAAGAGATAGAAGAAAATCTCAAATAATGAGATTAAAAATTCTGATTAAAAATTCTAACGGTCATTAGCAAAAATACCCACTGCCTCTTCTGTTACTTGTTTAATAATTCCCTTAATGTTTGGTCCTAATGGAGCAGATTATTATCACAATTTTATTTCATCAAGATCACCTACTGCATGAAAACAAGAAGGAAAGAGAAAAGGAGCATAGCCAAGAATAGGCATTGAGCATTAGCCAGCTGGAGATGTTTATTTATCGGCTTCATGCTTGGCTGGTGAAGTTTTGAAGGGCTGGTGCTCATAGCCCAGGGAGAAAGCCTGTCTCACGCTGTTCTGCCCATGGGTTGCTGAGACAGCGACCTGGAGTGCTTTCGCTTCTCTGTGGATCCTTTAATCTCCCAGCTTGGCTGTCATGCATAATACACACATTTATGCATGGCTGTGCACACACAGCTACATTAATGTGTTCTATGAGGGGCTGTCCTTTTAATATCTGACACTGATTAGAAGTCACATCCATAATGTCTGCCTCAGTTGCTTCGTCTCTCATAAAACTGTTGAGTTTCAATACAGAGGTATGTCAGGACCAAGCTCTGCCTTATTCCTCACTGCCCTTTTAGAGACCTAGGTCATTCATTAGAATGAGAGAATCCACTGAGGTGGCCTTGGACCTAAAAACACAGTCACGGTAAACTACTGCTCTATCATTTTGTTCTACTCAGCATCCCTCGGCCTTAGCATTCTCATTAAGGCAAAGACAGGTAACTGAAGCCACTGAGGTTCAGGGTAGAGCTTAAGAAGCAATGCATTCTCTTGTGTTGCAGTGGGGCAGCAAAGCCAGAGGTCTGAGTTGAGAAAAGAAATATCTCAAGAACCAAAAAAAGCACCTCTAAAAAAAGAATTCGAAGGAGGATAATCCGAAATAGCCCAGGCTGACTCCAGCAAGCTTGCCTCCAGCCACTGTCCCTGTTGGCTCCAGATTCTCATTAGATGAAACTCCTGTGTCTCATAAAGGAGTTAAAGACAAACCTTACAGATTTGAGAGGAAAGACAGTGATCAAAGCTAAGTGTCTCAAAACTTTCAGACACCTAGGAAAAGCAAAATGAGGTAAATAAGTAAGAAGTGATCATGTTGGGTCCACCTTGAAGAAAATCTGCTCAAAATATCACGAGGTTGGAGGGACCCTATGGATCATGCTGTCTACAAAGGTTGAACAAAAGGTTCTTCATGTCAGAGTTGGTCTTTTATTTATGGAAGGTTGCTGTTCTCTATTTTGAGCAGGCAAATAGCATTTTAATGAGGTTGGTGCATAGGAACATTCACTTTCTTCTCTTAAGCACTGGCTACTTTGGACTTGGGATGTGGAAAGGGAAATCTGGAGGTCTTAAGGCAGCAGGCAAGAGTAAAACCATACTCCATTGAGAGGCTGGCCAGGTGTGGCGAGGCTGCTGGTGAGTTGTACAATTGTGCAATTGTGAGTCTGCAGACTCAGTGCGCATGTTATGGCTCCTTAATTAATATGGTGGCCAAGGCATTTCCACAAGATTAAAATCTCCAGAATGTCCCCAAGAGAAGGTGATGTCCTTAATAATGTATAAATTGAACTTGCTGCTTAATATGTTTAAAACGTTTCACTTGTCTTCTACTTGGGTAGGAAATAGGGAAGGGATAATGGATTTTTATTCACCAGCCACCACAGAAGAGAAAATCTGTCAGAGAAGATAACCAAGGAATTTTCTTCCTAGTTTGGGTGGCTTCCTCTGGCAGAAAAGGGATTCTCAAGGTCAAGAACTTGTTACCACCATCTTGATGGCATTATTTGACTTCAAAGATCTGCCTGTACCTTTGCGAAGGAAGATGTCTTTTTTGTCAGGGCTAAATGGAGTTGATGGTTGCTTCTGAATCAACTCCATTATGTCCCCGGTCTGTGGTTTTGGCTTAATGGGCAGGAAGCTGTGACTATGTTCTTCCTACCATTACCCTACTAGCTTAGCATTATTTTGAGATTGTCATGAGTCATGATTACAATCGTTAACAATTGATAACATGAGTTGCTGCATTTCTTTCAGTCACCTTATGCTGTAGAAAAGGCCTTTGTTAGGTTCAACAAGGCTATAAAGTTTGCAGAAAGTTGCACAGTTGGCCAGAACCATTATTTTATATGGAAGTATATTAGTTTCATTTATTATTGCTGTGATTTATTGCCTGAGAAGATGCAACTTAAGGAAAGAAGGCTTAATTTTGGCTTAGATTTCAAGGGGCGCCGTCCCATTAAGAAGAGAAGCCATGGTAACAGAAGCTTTTATCAAATGGTCACAGTGTATCCACAAACAGGAAGTAGGAGGCTTGGGAATTATCAGTGTTAGCGCTTTGCTTTCATCCCCAGGCCACAGGATGGTCACATTTACATTCAGGTTTGGTCTTTCTTCTTCAGTTAAACCTTTCTGTAAACACTCTCATAGACACACTCAGATGAGTGTTTCCATGGTGATTTTAAATCCAGTCAAGTTAACAAATTAGTTTAATCACCACAGAGATCTTCATACTAGCAATTTAGGCCAGTTTCCTACTGAACTTACAAATCACAAGGTAGGAAAGGCTTTGAAGCTATCATCTGTCTGTCTGTCTATCCATCTACATAACATTTGTCTATTTATAACTAGTCTATCTATTCATCATCTGTCTGTCATCCATGGCATTCATTCTTTATCCAAGGAAATCTGGTTCTGGATTAGGCTGTAGATGTCCCAATGGGTTGGCTGAGTCTTCTTTTTGTTTGGTTCCTGGAAAAGTCAAAGGCAGATGTTAGTTATTGTTGTCATTTAAGAGTCTTGTGCCTGATCTTCAGTCATACTTAAGGAAAAACAGGAGACCAAATGTGCCTATTTAATTCTTATATTTTTCACTACTATTTAATTCCCTTAGGGATGTGATTTTGAATTCTGTGTGTCCACTTGCCTCGAGGGATAATTAATGATGTCTCAGATTTACTCTACTGTTACTCCTCCACTGGGCTTTGAAAGGCTAGCTGATTGATTGGCCACAGTCTCTTGACAGATGGTCGCTAGAAACAGAATCTCAGCTTTTCCACTTTTCTGCCAATCACACAGCCCAGGTAATGCTCTAAACTTCTGTGACATTTAATAGATCCAGACTCCTTTGGTCTATGACTTATTGATCATGTGACACTGATCAGAGGAAGGTATCACCGGCACCCAGGTTACACAGAGCCTCATTTCTTGTACAATGTAGATTTACCCATTGCTGTTCTACTAGATGCTTTTAGCACCGACTTAGCCTGGCTTTGTTTTATGCTTGCGTTTACTTCTGTTAGTTTGATTTTGTTCCCTGACGAGGATGTAAACTCCATTAGATCAGGAGCCCTAGTTCTATTATTTCTGTAACAGCAATAACAGAAACCACTAGGAGCACACACCTCTAATGCAGGTCTGGCAAACACTCAGTGAGCAGCTTAATAACAAATAAATTAGTCACATAAGTAGTGGGCTTGTATCAGTTTAGCTTGTAGGCATAGCTACAAGCTATAATACAGTGTATTCAATGTTGATGAGCCCTGTCTCCCTCTGCCCCCTCCTTTTTTTCCATTCTTTCCTTCATTCTACAAGCAGCTATTGACTTTCTGCTTTATGCCAGGCACTAAAACTAACTCTGGAGCTATAAGATATATGTCAGACATGACCCTTTCATTAAGTCTATAGTATGTTAGAAGAGACGGAAAAGCCAGTCAAAGGCACAAGTACATGGGGTTAGTGTGGAAGGGTCTGTGTTCAGGCCACTGAGGCTTAAGAGGAGTCCATGGAAGTCAGGATGTTGAAGTAACTTTGAAGAGTCAGCTAAAGTGGGAGGTATGATCCAGGATTCAGGGTTAGTATACAGGGGGTCCTGTGATTGAAGCAGGGGATTAGGATGAAGACAAAAAGAATATCTGACTAAAATTTTACTGACCCTGCTTTATTACTGTCAATATTATAGAAACCACTGTTACATTAAAAACTATAAAACATACAAATTATCTGACAAACTTCATGTGCCTCTGTCTCAGGTGAGTTGCATAAATGTCAATTTCATAATAAAGCAAAGGTTGTTCTCATGTGTTTGATCTCTATTAAAGCTGGTAGAAATGATTTATTGATTTTTAAAAGAAAAATGTATTTTAAAATGTCACCTTTCTTGCAAGATATTTGTGAACAGATGTGGAGTCCTCATATACTTCCAATGCAATTGTACTTAGAAAATGTTAAGAGTTTTGAAAAATCAGTAAAGTGGTCAGAAAACTCATGCAAAGATGAATAAAGCATAAAACAGTGCTATACCATTAGGTCAGTTGTTACTTACTTTTAATGTTCAATGTCTGCAACTTATTGCTCATCACCTAAATACAGATGCGCCTTAATGTTTTGTTGTGGGTTTTCAATGCCATAAAACCTGTGCTTACACAAACACGCTCTGAACAGAGTGAGGGAGTCCAAAAATCCAGAGCCAGGCAACAATTGCCTCCTGAAGCCAGTTTGGGCTGAGCTGTGTGTTCCTGCTGGACTGTAGGCGGAACTCTATCTGCACTCAGATGCCAGAAGGAATTTGTTCCTCCAGATAAGCTTTCATTTGCAAAGAACACCTTCCTCTTGCCTTTCCTCCTCATTTGGTTAACAGGAAGTCTGAGCTGCCCTTGACCTGAGGTTTGGGCCATTTTCATAAGCCACCTCTTTTAGAGTCTTCAAAAGAAATATCCTAAGACATCGGTGACTTTTGTTGGTAAATTTTCCTCTGAAGGTAGGAGAGCTAAAAATAATAGCTATTCCAATGAACTGAGCTTCTCTGAGAATACAATTATAGCCTGATGTGTACTCTCAGGATCTCACTGTATAAGGACAGTTTGTTTAGCTTTCTAGACACATGACCTATTCAAATATAAAAATGGGCCTTTTTTTTTTATTATAAATGGGCTTTCCACTTCTACATGATATCATTGAACAGAGCATGTACGTACTTCAGATGAATTCATACATAGTGAGCTTATTATCACAAAATCTCATCATTAGGTTACACATAAATATTGTGTAACTTTACATCTTGCATATTATTATTTACATAATAATCACAATTAATTGGTAAATAACAGCAAAGTTTTGAGACATTTGTCGCCAACTTGTGTTATGGGAGCAAAGAAACTATAGAAGAACTTGAGGTCTGAGGATCTCTTCCCCTATGCCTGAGGCAAGTTGTCCCTCCTGGCTGGAGCTTATTACTGGTTACCAATTACTAGCCAGCTGAGGTCCTCAAAAATCACTGCCTCTCAGCAGAGGAAACATTCTACTGAAGCAACACTCAAGACACTAAATACACAAGTTTAGCTAGATAAAACCTTGTTTTCCAGCTTCCTATAGGTTATATGTTTTAGAGGAACAAACATAAGACATCTTTGTTTGGATGTCTAGACTCTATATATATGAAGTTAACTATCTAGGAACTTAAGAGAATGGACTCAGGAGAAGAGCAATGAGAAGATCTGGGAGTTACCCACTCTGCTTCACCAATGTCGTAACTTCTCTGGACCTTGAGCTGCTCACCATATGAGGAGGTCACACCTGGAGAGTTTCAGTGGGTAGCTGTGCTGAAAGGGAACATACATTTCTTTGTTCAGATGCAGCTAAATTGGAGGACCTAAAAGCATCTTGTTAGCATGAAGTGGTACATGCTATACGTGGTCTTATTTTAACATGGAGAAAATCAAATGGGAGAGAGCTGTGAGCTAGCTGTGGACTTTGGCGAGTTTCTTTTTGTTCACTTTATGAAGTGAGAATGGATCCAAGCATAAGCACCCCTACCCATGTTGCCATTCTGTCCTTCGGGTTTGGGAAGAGCGGGGGGAGGGGGGTAGAGCTTATGTTTCTATGGTGACTGAAGCCGAGTGGTCGATGGGCTCTGTGACTGTAGTCTGGAGACATGTTCTCTATGGAGATGGCTCAGTAGAGACACTGCTTACTGCACAAACATGACGACCTGAGTTCATCACCAATGCCCACATAAAATTCAAGCACCGTGGTTCACTGTGGTGAGATTCTGTAACTTGATGCAGCACAGGGCAGGACAGAGATAGGAGAAGCCTGCGAGTTAGCAGGCCAGACAGTCTAGCTGAAGCAGGAGCTTCAGATCCAGCAACAGAACATACCTCAAAAAATAAGGTGACTATCATTAAAGGAAGACATCCAACAGTGACTTCTGGTTTCTGCACATATGTTCGTACATCCCACCCCCTCCATACAAAGAACATAGGCTCTGAACTTAGTCGCTAAGGCTCTATTTCAGTCCTTCTAATCACACATGGTATGACCTTGGACAAATTATTTAAACTCCATGCCTCATTTTTTTCTTTCATACTACAGTGGTTAAACTGCCTCTTGGAGTTAGAACTGTATTTTGAACAATTGTCTGATTCATAGTAAGCACCCGTTGATGAACAGCTGCTATTGTTTTCGTATTGAGCTATATGGGCAATGAACCAATGGGCTGCATTTTACTGTAACCCTGTGGTGGCCATCTGTATGCAGAATTAGTAAGGAGGGGTGGAGGGCCTCCCAAGGAACCTTGTGTGAGCTAGAAAGATGGTGCTTAAACCGTTCCTAGGGGATTGATGTTTATGTCGCTCTTACGGCTCTTTAGGGAATAAAATTACCTCTGGCTTTCAGTGGCCTAATTCAATGTCTGACAACTTCTCTCGGTTGGGAAGTTATTCCTTCTGTGTGGCTTAATTACCTATTGTTGAAGCTTTAGTTTGGGGGTGAGAGAAAGGATAGCCCATCTGACTCTGCCATGAAGATGATTGACGGCTCTGCTGAAAGCTATGAGGTCATACAAAGATGCTTACTGTCAGAGGATTAAGTCAGATCTAGATTTTATTCAGTCGAGTACATTGTCATGGAGGCAGGGTTCTGCTCTGTGTGTCTGAGAGTCCCCTATATGAACTTCAGGGGACCTAGGAAACTTGGTTTTATATTTTTACCCTATGCAACCAGAAAGTGTTTACTCTCTCTGTATTTTCCCGAGAGATTGCATCAGAAGAATTCAACCTCAAAATAAAATAAGATTTGAAAAGCAGAAAGTCATGTCCCCAGCAAATCTCGTGGCTTAGTATGTCACTTAGCAGCTGGCTCTACTGTGTGTTTCTCTTTCTCCTCACATAGCCTGTTTGAGCAAGGTAGCATGTATGTAAGTGTTCTTGTTTGCATATATGCATGCATGTGCCATTTCTCAAAAAGATGGTGGTACATGGAGGATAGGAAAATTTACTGAGGGACTGTATTTATCAATCCAGGACGTAATCATTGTGAAATTAGAAACAAACAAACAAATAAACAGATGTTTTAATTTGTTTGGTAGAATATTCTTGATCTATTGTCACTTGATTGGGCCCCATGGAAAATGATAAGGACTTTTTAGCTCTATAATATACAGTAGGTTGGCAATGACTGGAGCCAAGGTCAAGAGGAGAACCATTTGGCACACCTTGACCTAATGAAATAGATTTGAAGGGATGTTGACCAAAATAAAGGGGTGAAATGGACTTCGTACCAGAAGGCGTATGCCTGTGGAGCGCTCTAAAGGAAAGAACATGGGAAGCTATCTTCACCTCTCCAAACCTCACCCTGGGCTTGTCAGGGCCAGTTGTTCAGCCTTACTGAGCACTCTGTCCTCATCTCCAGAAGGCAGCTGGTGCTGTCCTGACTTGTAAGAACCGGCCTCTGAAGTGGTAGCCTCTCAGTTCTTGAAAGCTCAGCAAAAAACTCCTCCACCAGCCTGACTCTAGGATATGGTATCAGCCCTCTCCTCCATGGAAGCATGGAAGCAAAAACAAACTGTGTTTCTGCTGCCCGGGGCATGTACAAACAATGGGGTTTCTTCACCAGTTGGTACTGTAAATGTGTTGATGGTTTTTCCTGCTGGGCCAGTTGTTCTGATGGAGAGAGTTGAGGTTACTCTGAGCAGAGTGTTGATGTATTGGTGCCAGTCACTTTACATCATTACTTGACCTAATACTTAGCAACCTCTGTGAGCAGTTAAGTGTCGACTTCTTCATTGTACAGACAAGAAATCTGAGTTTTAGAACTGATAGGACCCATTGATTTGTGGATCAAGTGTTAGGATCCATCTAAGATTGACTATTTAGAAAGGAGATGAAACTCGATGCCACCCCATGCTGGCTGCTAAAAAGAAAGCCCCAAATCAGCTGTATGTGTAGCATGTTTGTCTGAAGAAACAAACTCTGTTCCAGAGTTCTGCAACTGAAAGCCCCAAATCTCAGTCCTGCCCACTCTATGTCTCAAATATTTGCTAAGCTAGGAACAACTAGATTCTTTGAAATGATGCATTAACCACACCGTTTCATTTTCTCCCTTATTAAACACCAGTGTCGGCAGAGTATCCCTTGATTGCCGAATGATGCTCACTGTAAGCGCTCAGTACATTTGATGGCATGAGTTAATGAATGAGTGATGACTGCAGTTAGCAGATGGAGCAGTGATACTGTGGGTAGAGCTTACCTTTCTTTGTGCAAACACCCGATGTCCTGTCTTTACAGGGTGGCATGATTGCATTGCTGCTATCCATCTTGTGCCTGGTGATGATCCTGTACACACGCAGGCGCTGGTGCAAACGTCGTCGGGTTCCCCAGCCCCAGAAGAGTGCCAGCGCCGAGGCAGCCAATGAGATTCACTACATCCCATCTGTGCTGATTGGAGGCCACGGGCGGGAGAGCTTGCGCAATGCCCGTGTGCAGGGCCACAACTCCAGTGGCACCCTGAGCATCCGGGAGACACCCATCCTGGATGGCTATGAGTATGACATCACAGACCTGCGTCACCACCTGCAGAGAGAGTGCATGAACGGAGGGGAGGACTTTGCCAGTCAGGTCACACGCACCTTGGACTCCCTACAGGGCTGCAATGAGAAGTCTGGGATGGATCTCACACCAGGTAGGATGGGGCCTGTGGAGTCTTGCTGGGGGAGACAGAGTAGGCAGGGGTAGCCAACACCTGTTATGTAGATGTACCAATGCCTTTCTTCAGGTGGGCAAAAATAACCTGTGTCATGGGCTCCACCCCAACTGAGGAGCCATTAGCAGTTAATGAGTCCTGGGAGAAGAAAAGCCAGTTGTCTTTATGAGTGTAAGGTTGCCTGTGCTCCAGTGGACAGCTCTACACCCACATACTTAGAGGTAGCACCAGTGGGATATAAAAAACTCTATTAAGAAGACATAAAGTTGAGATGGGGAAGCGTGTGGGATGATATAGCAGGAATAAGAATGGGACGTAAGGGATGCATCTGATCAAAGAACACTGTATATGTTTATGAAATTCTCAAACAAAAAACCCCCAACAACCTGTTTTCTTAGATAACTGTGCTGATTTTCTAATCCATAAAATAGGCGTAAGTTTGAGCTACTTCCGCTTTCACCCAGCTTGGGAGCAGAGAGGCGTCTTCACACATAGCAGAAGTAGGTTAGAGCCTTTTAATGCATCCTGGGAGCCCTCTAGGTAGCAAGGTAGCTGCATGGGAAACTGACCTGGCTTGCCCTTTTTGTATGTCACATATTTGCACAGGCAACTTCATTCTTTAGTGACGTGGCGGGTCCTCAGCTACCTGGTTTTTGGCTGGTTGGTTTATTTGTTCTGTTTTTCTCTCTGCCTCCTAAGATGTGGGCCTTGGATCTTCTAATTGCGTTATCTTTCCCCTGCTTCTGTGGTCTCTACACAAGATGCATTTTTTTTTCAAAGAAAATGAAGGAGTGCAATCAAAGCATCAGATCTTAGTTGCTAGATATAACTTTGGAGAGAGTGGATAGAAGAGCCTTGGCCCTAACCTAGCAGAACAAGATCAGGGTCAAAAACATGCAGAATGGGAAGAACTGTTCTTTTATGATAGCCTACACCTCTCTCTTTCAAGCTGCTATGAATAAGCACATCTTGAAAGGAAATGCCCTCAACAGTGATGCTTCAAGACACTGTCCAGTACCTTCTTTGAGGAAGACACATTTTGTACCACCTGCTGCTAAAGATGCATAGACTTTTGGTGAGGATGCAAATGGTGAAATCATATAATGGGAAATGGAAATTCTGTTTGGCATCTAGAAGATGACCTATATCAATAATCATTTCTTAATGCAATTTGAAGTCTGAGAACTTTTAAACCTGAGAATGGGAAGAGGATTCTGAAGCTTGTATCATATTCCCCACAGCACGTGGCATAGTACCAAGGCCATGCAATGAATATATGGCATTTGGGGGTTCAAATCTGAACTCCTTTAGGGAGCTGATAGATCACACAAATGTGTGCAGTAGCTAGAGTTTAGTCAGCAGGGAATGGTGAGGTCTGTGATGAAAGACAGGCCACATTCTGTCTGAATGCACACAGATTCTATTTCTTCTAAAACCCAGTGCTGGCCAGAGGGAAAAACCCTGCATTCTGTGTTTAGCCAAAGGCTGGCAAGCAATAACATTATCAATATGGAATTAGCTAAATTGGATTTTCAATTGTAATCCTCTTACTTCACCCCTCCCATAACTTTGTAGCCCCTAGAAAGCAGAGGACTGTCTCACTTTCTAACCGCCTCTCACTCCACATGCTCCTCCTTTCAGTTCTCTGAACCCATCTACTCAGCTAAAGTAGATTTTCTCACTTCCTTTATTTTTTTTCCCTTTTCTCTTAAGTTTTTATCTTTGTCTTGGCTTTTTCTTACATAGGGAGCGACAATGCCAAACTTTCCCTGATGAACAAATACAAAGATAATATCATAGCTACAAGCCCAGTGGATTCCAACCACCAACAAGCCACTCTGCTCTCCCACACCTCCAGCAGCCAGAGAAAGAGGATCAACAACAAAGCAAGAGGTACCCATATCTAGTTCTAAGTCTTGCAGGTGGGTTTCAGAATGTGGGTAGAGGTAGGCCATCAAAGCGACTACATATACAGTGACACATAGCTACAAAGATATATGTCTTGCACAATCTTCTGGAGGCCACATCAGTACTACTTGCCCCAAAATTTAAGAGTAAAACTCTTTTGATTAAATAGTTTCCAGGACATTAATATTTTCTAGGGACTAACTGAACAAGTATGCAAAGATATGTGTAGATGGTTGGTTATTACATTTTAACAAGCTAAAAATTGGAAATTTCCCACCAAGAGGGAATTGGTTAACAATCTGGCACATCTGCCTAATGTCCAGTGATTTACCATGTAGTCATTTAAAATGATTATATAGATCTTTATTTGTTAATATGGAAAGTTGCCCACCTATCTATTCAATGGGAGAAATGAGGTTTTAATGAAGGTATGGCACAATTCCATTTTAAAGGGAGATTAAAAACCCTTTACCCATTTCAGTATCAGAAAAGGACAGAGGGTATATATATCAATGATGAAAGAATTTGTTTCTAATTTAGAGGGCTTGAAGGACATGGTCCCTGCACATAAGTCTACCTACATTATTTATTCTTTTTGTGTGTGTTCTGGAATCAGTGAAATCTCAGCAATATAATGTCTTTCCTGCTCTGATGTAATCCTGGTCTCTTATCAACCAGAATAGAACATTTCTTTTTCTTTCTTCTCCACCGCCCATCATCTGGAAGTCCTCAGTGACATGTAAAGTCGCACAAGTCTCTCATCATGGAACCATGTTCCTTGTGGGGATCAGAGCACTATCAGTTGCTCCCATAAATGTGTGCTTCTCCAACAATCCTGGATATTGAGAAGTTCTACCCCTCAGTTACCTCTCCCAGACTGTCTGTCAACCAGTCTCATTTTTAATGATTTTTCCAATTAGGTCTCACCCTGTGATTCTGCATCATGAAAAGTGAAAATGTCTGTTTTGGTTCTCTATTCCTTTCAGCTGGTTCCGCCTTCTTGAACCCTGAAGGGGACTCTGGCACGGAGGCAGAAAATGATCCACAGCTAACCTTTTATACGGACCCCTCGCGGAGCCGAAGGCGTAGTCGAGGTAGGGAGGATGGGAAGGAGTATAAGATGGTGCGGGTGGGAAAGGAAGAGGTTAGGGAGAACTCTGTGGACACGGCCAACTTCAGCAGGAAAGATGCTTGGACCTCAGCTGGTGCTTCCTCCAAGGAAGAACGAAGAGCCTAGAGTTCAGTGAGAGTGAGAATCATCTCTCCCAGATAATGGCACTCTCAAACAAGTTTCCAAGTTGTTTGAAAGGCTGTTTCTTGGTCAGAAGACTCTCAATTTCTTCTGGAAGACTCAGCAGTCATTATTTTTTTGCTATTCAGACAAATAAAGTAGATGAAGTTTCATAAATTAATGATATGTTTACTCACTATCAATTTGGCTGCATTGGCCTTGGGAGCTAGGCTGGGTTAGGAGGGCATAGACAGTAAGGAATTATCTAGGAATTGAGAATATATAGGCGTTTTTGTATTATTATTATTATTATTATTATTATTATTATTATTTGGTCTTTAAGTCTTACTCATTAGAATCTCGAGACCTAAGCCTCCAGGCCCCTGGCACAGTTTAAGAAGCTAATTTGTTCTCCACGCTGGCACATCTGTCTGTGCAGCCTCTATGTACTGCTGCAGGCTCGTCCTTAGTGACTTCAGATATGACTCCTGCTGCAGAAGGGGTCACTTTCCATGACTTTACTGGCGTTGCCATTACCTCCGAGGGAGTCCTACAGGGAAACACCAACGAGCTTCAGCATTTACTCGCTGTGTGGCGTTGCATAAGGACACAGCTCCCCTGAGCATCAGTTCTCACACATACCGAATGGCTTATCGATGACTCCTACGTAAGGCTTCTGTGGGGATTACATCCTTTATTTATTTTGTCAACTTTTAAAGTACTAGGAAATCCCCATTGCTGCTGCCAGGTCTTCCCAACAGTAGTCTACAGCTTTTATAGAGCTCCATCTTGGAATGTACTGAACATACTCCCCTTGAGACACCATGGAGGATTTATGAATGACATCAGCTGTGTCCTTTTGGTGTGGACATAACTCAGTAGCATTTCAAAAAATACCTAGCCAGTAGCCTTCAGAGCTCACACATGTTGGCTGAGTCCTACCACTATTCAAATGTTCTTCATACAGAAACCATTCTTTCTAGAAACTGCAAGAAGGGAAGTGTTTTCATTCTGTCTTCCAGTGTCTGTGGGCTTCCCAGTCTGTAGCGTTGAGTTTTTCCTGACATCTTTTCCCCCAGAAGAGCCAGTAGGGCTCATTATTGCCTAACTGTAGATGTCTCATTTTCCTGAAGTGATAATGTGCATGACAGTATCCTCCTCTCCCTTGATCCCCAAAATATTTTATAGAAGAGCTACACAACCTAGTCTGTATCAAAGCAGGTTGTGTCTCACTTTAATAAAGTCTTATTTGAGAAACCCTCCGGTAATGAGTTAGAATTAGTTGCTTTACAACATAAAATTATTTGTTTCTTTAACTCCCAAGCTCCTGTAATACATCAACTGTCTAATGCTATTAACTAAACTGTAAGTTCCTTAGGGGTGGAGCATTCCTATAATTATTTTTTTTTCGAACTGCCTACTAAAGTATTCTGCCTATAATATATGTGTGTAAGTGTCTGCTTAATTGCACTGGATACATCTATCAGGCCAGCAAAAATAGTTTATAACCTACCTCCTATGGGTCAGCCTCTGTGAGAGGCAGTGGAAGCATGAAAACATGGCATAATGATTAGGCTTCACTTAATAATATAAATAAATAAAATGAGTACGCAGCAGCAATAACACTTAATTCTACATGGCAGCAATAGGAGGCAATAAAGAAGAATTAGCACTGAAACATAGGCAATGTATAGAATGTCTTGAAAAAGAAGTCTTAAGTAAGAACATTTCAGGAGAGGAAGGCAGTACATAAAAAGCTCCGAGGACTGAAAGCAATGTGGTTGTCAAGGAAGTAAGGGAGCTGGTAGTTCCAGCCAGGACATAAACATAGGGAAGGTAGGGATGAAGCCAGAAAATAAGCTAACTAGCAAAGCACAAACCTGCCACTCTGTTGCAACTGTGCTTGGTTGTGTAAACAAGCAACCACTGGAAAATGTGAAGGCAGGCAAGGATGCTAGATTGTACATGATGCAAACAGAAGAAAGGGACAAAAATATCAGTTGTAAGTTATTGCAATCACAGGAGAACAGTGGCAAGTGCCTGCAAACAGTGATGACATTGTGTGATAAGTGCTGTAACAGCAGGGTGCACTGAGGGCTAGGATGAGTGAGAATCTGTTCTTGAAGGTTTCAGGGAAGTATTTTCAGGAAGCTGCTGTTGAAGGGTAGGTGTGGACCAGGATGACAAGGTGACAAAATGGCCTTCTGTGGAGGAGGAGATAATATGTGCAAAGTCACTGGAATGGAAGTGATGGCCTAGTGAGAAAGCTGAAAAATAGTTTCCTCCAGTAAAGTCTAGGGCGCATGTTTGTAGGTTGTTCAGGAAAGAAAGCCAAAAGATCAGCAGAATCTAGGAAGTACATGGTCGTAGCTATATAGGCTGTGGATCTTCTGTCTTAGCTAGCTAGTGAGTTGTGCTTTGTGGAGTTCTCCCCTTCAGGTGGTGCAGATGTTAGCTGAGAGCCAAGGAGGGTGTCTATGAGAGTGAGACAGTTACTGCTGGAGTTCTAAGGTAACATGACAGGATAGAGGTGAAATTTTGACTGAAATGAAAAACCATCCTTAATGAAAGGCCTTGGTGTACGAGGATGTGTCTTGTGAGCCTACGGGAAGAGAGTTCACGAAGTTGTTTGAGTTGAGAATCCACCCAATGCAGAATCATACCCTGGACATCAGAGACAAGACAGGAAGCTGGGTTTTGAGAACGATGACAGCTGTAGTTTGTGGTATTGTGGCATTGTAGAGTGAGAGGGTATTTTGTTGGTGGACCTGCTGCTGTGACCAGGCTGGGTTGATCTCTAAGTGGAAAGAAACCAACTCTGTGTGTAATGCCCAAAATTATTCAGTAAGCCCCACATGCCCAAGGACCAGGTAACTTTCTGGAATGCTGGGAGTTGTAGTTCTTTCAAAAACAGTAATAACAAAGCCTCATTGGAAAAATATGGTGGCCTATAGGCTTGTCTTCATAAACCCTTGCCACTGGGTCTCAGGGCCATTCTGCTGGGAAATTTCAGGGACTGGTCCTGACCAAAGGCCATCTCTTAAACAGTAGCTAATATTTAATAAAACTTGCTTCAAATTTGGCCCAAAATGGTGGAATTGGTTTTTCTCTGGAAAAATCTCAGGATTGACACATGCTATAAAGATCGTAATGTGAATAGTACTTCTCAATCTTGCAAGAACCAGAGGCTTCCGGCAAGCTCTGCATCTTTTTCTCCTTACAACTCTCTCGAGTGCCCCTTGGGCGACCCTGCACGCTGACAGATGGGTGGTCACGAGCCCCAAACTCATCCCGGTGTTTCCGAAGAGCAGCAATTCCCAAAGCTCTAGCCTCTATAGCTTCTTGGCTCTGGCTATGCTCTTTAGACTCCAGAAAGCTACTTTGTGCTGCCTCGATTGTTATTCAAGGATGTCAGCCATGTAGAACCCTGAGCACTAGTACCTGACACATAATGGCCACTTCGTAAGTGTGAGCTGTCACAATTAGGGCCGTCTCTTTGAGACTTATTTCCCTCTTCTGCAAAGCAGATAGTCACTGTGCAGGCTCACAGGTATATTATGAAGAGGCAAATAGTTAAAAGGAAATAATGTACAGAATGCTCGGCACAGCGTCCTCCATAACGGGACTTGTATTACTATTCATAATAAATAGTAACATAAATAAGAACATTGCCGGAGAACTATACATTTTGTTGCCTTGCTTTCTTACCTTCCCATATGTGTCCTGCCTCTGAGTAAAAGATCCCTCTGCTTGCCACCACTTCAACCAAAAGCAGCAGAAAATTCAGCCCACCAGATGAGCAAAACAAGCCTTTCCTTTACCATTCCCAGTGGTGTCTGGACTGAGGGGAGGATTCCAGTGTGACAGCAACATTTGCTCACCCATAAAACAAGGGCAAGCTCCCCAAGTTGGGGAAACTCCCCTTGGAAGCCTGGGTACACATTGTGGGAGCATGGCCTTAGGGCACCCTCTGCAAACAGAAGTGGGACTCCACTATAGGGTTTAAACGATTTTGCCTCCAAGAGTTTTGAGTTCAGCTGGGGAAGTCAAAGGAGAGATGCCCCCTTTCTGGCCTCTTGTAAACCAACCCAGTCAAATAGCAGAGAATCTGCAGCCAGCTCACCACTACCGACCTTCAGGGCCACCAGTCGGCCAAGTTCCCCACTACTTCAGCAGGTCGTGTGATGTCCCCAATGAAGCTTCCTGAGGTCACATAGTGGAGAGGTTTTCTGACTGCTGTGGGTTTTGTTTGCCAACAGAGGTTCAAGTCAGATGGTCAGTGCCTGGATTTTTACCACTGTGTCTCGCTTTGTCTTGCTTTCAGTGGGCTCTCCTCGAAGTCCTGTGAATAAGACCACCCTGACGCTGATCAGCATCACCAGCTGTGTGATCGGGCTCGTGTGCTCCTCTCATGTCAGCTGCCCTCTTGTTGTCAAAATCACCCTGCATGTCCCCGAACACCTGATTGCCGATGGTGAGCTCATTCCGCCAAGCAACATGACCGCTGCTTCAGTAGCTGGCAGTTTTCAGGCTGGGAAAAAGATGGAGAAACCAAGGCTCACTGTGGGTGGTGTGTGAGGGGGTGGGATACACCCAAAAATGTAAGATGGAGGCTACAGTTAGATTGTCTGCAGATGATCTAAGAAACTGGGCTAATAAACTGAGCGGGTCATCTCCATTTCTTCATGCCCATGCTCTGTTTGCAAATAAGGCCCTCTGTAGAGAAATGAAAAGTGCACTGGCTCTAGATGGGTAGACATTATAGTCCTTTACTGTTTGAGGAAGAACAAGCTAAACAGGGCAGTAGAGGTGTTTAAGGATCAACCAGGCTTTGGCTTTTTTTTTTTTTTTTTTTTGTCCAGGTGGGAAACTGTTAACTGCCTTAACTTGTAAACCTGGACCTCAAAAGGAATAATTTACTTCCATGCACGGGGACCCCCATACAATAAGGGAGTCCCACAGGTTCTGAAAGTCCCTGTATCACTTGAGCCCACAGGACCTAATTGACTTGTTAATGTCTGTTCTCTTTGTTGCTGCAAGGCTGGAAACAGGTGGGGGATATTCACGGTGTTGGAGGACCTGCTAGCTCATAGCAATCAAAGACAGACAGCCCGTCCCTGTTACCTGGCTCAGTGCCCGTGCCTTGTCGCTGGGTCTGATGGAGCCATGCCATGGCCACTACCGAGTCACTCTGTCCCTGGGTCCCTTAGGAACATTCCTGCAATAGGGGATGAGGCATGGCAGTAGGCGATGATATGGCTGGAAGGCTTAATGCCCAGCTCTCACAGCAGTCAGTCTGGCTGCAGAACCTCCATCTGCCGATCCCTTGTGATGGTATTAATGGTAGGCTAGGACGGGTGGGAGTGATCTCAGATTAGGATGTGCTCTGTCTCTGGTGTCTTGCTCCCGGGCCTGGTGTGTGCACTCGAAGACGAGCTTCTTCTCTGTCACCCTGTAGGGAGCCGCTTCATCCTGCTGGAGGGGAGCCAGCTGGATGCCAGTGACTGGCTGAACCCTGCCCAAGTGGTTCTCTTCTCTCAGCAGAACTCCAGTGGGCCCTGGGCCATGGACCTCTGTGCTCGGCGGCTCCTGGACCCTTGTGAACACCAATGTGACCCCGAAACTGGTAGGCGGGAGCACCGGGCAGCGGGTAACTGTCAGAGAGAGCATGCCTTTTGCGATCATTCCTTTGACATTCAGACCATCTCTCCCAGTTCCACTGTGCCCTTTCCATCTCCGGTGTGGACCACACATGCATATCAGCATGTGGTTGAGCCACTGAGCATAAGAACATGCAATGGTCTAGCAACATCTTAACTGCAGCCTTACTCTGGAAAGGCCAGTTTGGAATAACCCCCACAATCCACTTGGTCATTGTCTAGGTGCCATGGCTAGCCATTTTATGTTGGCAAAATTAGTTCATGCTTATTATGAATAATAATATAGAAAAAAACAATAATTGTCTACATTTCTGTCTCCTAGATAAATCACTTTAAATCTTTTTATGCCCTTTCTTTTTACCTCTAATCTATGCATGATTTTTTTAAAGGTTTCCTGCAACTATAGGAAATCTACTGGAGTTTTTGTTAATTTGCCTCCTTAATATCCTATCACATGAGCATTCCATAATCACAATCATCGGTAACATTTTAGCGGTCACTTGGTTTGGCATTGTTCATCTGCATCATAGATCATTTAAACAGTCTCATTACTTTGAATTTAGAAAGGTCTAAACTTTTTATTTTTATAAATACTATTAAAACAAGTCTCCCCCCCAAAAAAAGAAATGTGGGGCCCATAGGAATTTATTTTTCTTCTAATGAATCTTAGAAATAGAACACTACACAAAAGCTGTGGACATGCCTAAGTCTGTTACTCCATATAGCAAGACTAGGTTAGTCCTGAGTGAAGCCCAGACTCGGGAAGTGTGCAGTGGGCGCTACTGCTTTACTTCTGGAGTATTGCATGCCCAACACCCCAAGTCTCTATGCTAGGTAGATTTGTACTTTTGTGGTAGAAGAGGTGTTTGCTCTTCATATCATGGCAGAATATTGAAGAGAAACAACTTAGAGGAAGAAGGATCTATCTTGGCTCATGGTTGAAGGAAGCACAGTCCATTCTGGCAGGCAGGATATGGCCTAGAAGGTTCTATCTGTGAGGGTGGGAAGTGGTGGCATGGTTTATTATTACATCTTTATGGGCCAGGAGCCAGAGAACTCTAGCTGGAAATGGAGCTCACCTAGAAGCTGTAAACCTTACCCCTACTCCTATGGCCCTACCCCTGCTGGCTGAACCTCATTCCAAGAGTTTCCATAGCCTTCCAGTGCCACCATCTGGGGACCAAGTGGTTGAACACATAAGCCTACAGACGAGTTTCACACTTAAGCCATGATAAGAGCTTCAGATACAAAAAAGACCATGTTCAGGAGCTAGAGTACCACAGGTGGGACCCTCCTGGAGAAGTTGTGTAGTACCATAGAACAAAAGAAGAGGTCATGAACCAAATCCTCAAGATGTTTATCTGTCGTGTAGAATTCCTGAGACAGACAGGGCAGGGAGTTGAGGCTGTCTCTTCAGAAAGTTCAGCTCAGAAAGGCCTTTCTACAGAGGTAGCCTAAGACACATAATCTATATTTTCTTGTAATCCAGTATTAAATCCTTTTGAGAAAGTATCAGGTAACTGTGACATCTAAAGTTCATGTTCTTAGGTTTTAAACTTATTTTACGTGGGCCCATCACAGAGATTCTAGGTCCCCATATGGAGGAGAAAGTACAGCACTTTCAACATCTGATGTCTAAGACGGTGCTTGCTTGCTGTCCCTCCTACGCTGTCAGGCAAACACCAAACCAAACAGATGGGCTGTGCACTATGCCCAAAAGCTCGTGTGCTTGGAAGAAATTAAAAAGAGCTCATCTCAGAGGTGGGGACTCTCCATGTAGCAGAGCTGGTCTCTAGTTCCCTCGTTCTCCAGCTGGTTAGGATTAGGAGGATTTGGGACAATCGTAGCTGTTAAACTCACTTCTGAGAGCAACAAGATCCCCAGAGGCTCCTACATGTATCCTCTTTGCCTTGAAAGAAAATCAAGGGCCTACAATTACATGTGGAAAGGAGGGGACTGGCTTTCCACATTTGGCAAGGTTAGACACAAGATGCCCTCTTACTTTATATAACATTTGCCTTTCTGTCCCTAATTTGCCCAGAGCTCCACAGCTAACTATAAGGAGAGTTTGTATTTAACCTATACTGAAACTACCTATCATGAAGTAAGATTGTCAAAGATAACATGATATACCCAAGGCATGCCAGATCCGACATGCTTGTCACTCAGCTCTTTAGGAGGAAACCTGTACTAAGCATTTCTGATGGGTGTGCCAGAGAGCTGTTTGTCTATATAGAAGTCTACCCTCCAGCCCCTTCCAGATATCTAATTTCTAGTCCTCCCTATAAAATCACTTTGGGAAGCCCCTCCCCTGCAAATGGTTTCCTGGTCTCTCTAACAACTAATGAATTTCCAACTGGGAGAGTCACAAGGGATGCTAAAAATAAGAACCCAAGCCTCACAACAAACTAAGGTACAACATCTTCATTTGCTGTGGCAGCCGAGAAATGGTGTTGTGGAGCCTTTCGTTTCCATCAGTGCTGGGACTGGAACCCCACCCACCCCTGTGCAGCTCCTGCCTGCACATGGGACGATGTGGTCATCCCACACGCTCATCACTAAGAGACTTTATCGCCTCCCACATGCCATCCTAGAGCCTTTCTCTAAAGAGCTGAGTGTGGGAATTGGCTTCGAGTCAAATCGACGTTATTTTTTGCAATCCTCCAGCTAGCTTACTTGGAAATGTCAGAGTGTTGGGACATGTGCTTTCCCAGCCGAGCTGAGGGGTCTGCCCATATGGACGCACAGGGCTGTGCAAATGCACTTGTGTATTTTTTTTTCACGCAGACACACGTACCCATAAACACACAAGCACACAAACACAGATGCTCAGGCACTGCGAAGGAGCAGCCTTTGGTGCCTGGAGCCCTACTCCCTAGGCAGCCTTCCTAAAAGTGTCCCAAAGTTAAATGTATATTCACACATTATCTGCCTGGGACTCCACAATGCCAGGTGGGAGAGGCAGACACATGGACTTACTCCGCCAGATGCCCACATCCTCCCCCCACAATCTGTGGAGGTGTGACATTGCATGGCAAAGGAAGGTAAAAATGGCACGTAGAATTGGGGTTGCCTAACAAACTGATGTTACAAAAGCAAGATTACCGTAGGTTATTTGGGCGTCCCAATGTTCCGCCAACACTTCTCAAAAGTAGAAGGGAGAACAGGTCAAAGAGCCATGATGAAAGAATAACTCATCAAGGTATTGTATACTTGAAAGATGAAGGGTGAGTCGTGAACCAGGTGTGCAGGCAGCCTTCAGAAAGGAGGAAAGCAAGGAAGCAGATTCTCACTTACAGCCTCTAGAAAGGAGCATAGCTCTCTAGAGACTTTGATCTTAGCCCCATAGAGCCCACATTGGTCCCTCTGGCCTACAATGACACAATGAATTGATGTTGCCATAGACGCATGAATTTGAGATCAGCTACAAATACCCCAAAGGAAGGAAAAACAGCTAAAGGAGAGAAACATGTTATACCCCTTCATCCTAAACCCCCATTATAATTCCATAACTTCTAAAAATGGTGGGGAGGTGGCTATGAAAGAACCAGGGCCTAACCTTCCTCTCCACTGACCTGGGAGGGGCAGAGCTCAGAGACCAACCTGAACAACAGCAAATCGCCATTGGCAAGTGTTCTTATAATCAACCCAACTCCTCAGAACTTCTGGTTGTGTGTGGCTATTCCTGAGAAAGGAGAGACCTTCATGCTTGTCAAGTGCATCTCTGCTATGTGCTGTGATACTCTTCTAGCAGGTATCAACTTGTGATGAGTCATCGTACCTGGCCATGGATAGACTTTAGGATGCTTGTGATTAGGTTCATACCGCTGATGACTTCACACAACATACTGTGGTCTATCTCTCCACTGCTTTGTAATGTCAGCTGGAAAATGTGTGGGAAAATTATTTCTGAAAAAAAAATCATGGTAGACAGTGTTTATCAGGGGCCCATCATGTTATTGTCACTGTGATTTGCTTAGACAGTCAAAATTTCCCCCCACAAGCTTATAAAGCAGACAGTATTTTTATCTCCACTTTAGAGAAATGTTGACTAACTGGCTTAACACTCTTGCCCAGTTAATAGCCCAGCTGTACTATAAGCTCAGGACACATGGGATATCAGGAACCACATGTCTGGTCATTTTGTAATCTTTCTTCCTATGTTTCCTTTCTAGATAGAAGGCTTAGGGTTACTCTCTTTTCTTCTGGGTGGCTTTTTAGAGTCTCAGTTTCTGATGCGGCCTTTTGCCAACTGCCAATCTTCTTGCCTACCTCACAAGACTGCCCTGCCTCCCAGGAGCATCTCTGGTCATCTGTAGTTCAGTGTCTGTTGGATCCTGTCATTGGCTGACTTTTCCCATGATTACGAAGGGTGACTTTTGTGGTTGTCTCCACTTTGTTTTCTGATGAGAGACTATCTAGTTTCATTGGTTTTTCTCTGTACTCATCCCAAGCCTTTGTTCCGTCATACGATCAGCTGTGGAGGCCTCGGACACTGGCTTCTTTTCTCAGCCACATCAATTCTGGCCACAGACTAGAGTGTGTTTCTCAAGATATGTAGCTTTTTTTTTTTTTTTTTTTTTTTTTAATGTCTGCAAGGAGTACAGGCATCCAAGAAACCTCAAACTTGGATGTTTTTAATATATATCTGATATGTTCTCAAAAATCCCTTCTTTCACAGGTCTTTTTATGGCCAGTTCAACTAGGTCAAAATGTATCAGCCTGCTGAGGAGCATGGACCAGGTTTCCAGACAATTCAGCCTCAACCCTTTTCCTTGCTCTGAGCCTTTTTCTCCCTGTCCTCTGTACCCCCATCTCTCTCTCTCTCTCTCTCTCTCTCTCTCTCTCTCTCTCTCTCTC